CAATCGTTTAAACCATGTGCAAGAGTTCCACGGATTGGGGGCGGTTCGTTGTCAAAATGTGGCACTCGCCTCAGCGCGGCGCACATTCGTTTTACTACATTGCAAGAGCTTCACGGATTGAGGGCGGGCAAAATGCGGCTCTCGCCTTAGCGCCGCGAACACTCGTTCAAAAAAAAGCAAGAGATTCACGGATTCCCATCATCAACGTACCATAATTGGTGCTTTGAAATGATTCAAAATTACGCGGGCGCAAGAATTACGTTGGTTCGCTGTGTTGAAATCCCAGGAATGGCGTTCTGGCAAGAGTCAAAAACGTCAACACGCAACAGTCAGGTAGATCCGTGGCGTTGGAATCCCAAGAACAATGTTTTGGCATGCTGCAAGGTATTCAAACGGTTGTCTTCCAACGATGCAGTTCCCTCAATTGAGATGAACCGTTGTAGGGGCCTATGGAGAGGGAGCTTGGAGGGAGGGTGGATTCCAACATCGTTGACGCCTCTTGGGATTACACTGATCCTCCTCCTCCTCCTCCTCCTCCTCCTCCTCCTCCTCCTCCTCCTCCGCCCCCTCCTCGTCCTCATCGTCCTCCTCCTCCTCCCAACCCTCCTCCTCTTCCCCCTCCTCCTCCTCCCCCTCCTCCTCCTCCTGCGGGTACTGCGGGTACCAAGAGCGTCAGCCATACAGAGCACAGCTGGCACATGGGCACGAACCCAGAAGATTAGAGTTGAGTGATGAAATCCCCCAGGGCAGTGCCGCTGACCTGCTGGGGGGAATGAATTCTACACTGCGTCATCGGAAGCTTGCCATTGAGAAGGGCACGCTTCTCTTTCGAATTTTCATTCGGCACACACCTCGACCTCAGCTTGATGGCTTTCTGAGTCCCAAAAGCGCCGCACCTGGAGCAGAACACAACAGGAAAACCAGACTCCACGACAAAGGCGACGTGGAGGGAATGCCCGAAATGTCCAGGAGTCTTCAGCACTTCCAGGAGTGAGGGATTCAGGCCGATACAAAGGGGTCTTAGTGCGTGGTGGCACAGTTCTGAGACAGTGACTACACCGCCAGTGATCTATGTGCCAGTAAGGGATATGTGGTGACGTAGGAGTCCTACGACGGCCACGGGGTCTCACAAATTCCTTATCCAGCACTCCGAACAGATCACTGGGGGGGGGGGGGCAGAGGGACAGGACCTCCCCCATCCCCACAAACAGCTCCTTAAACTGGGAGAACGTGGAATCTACAGTATCGAAGAACGAGGGGTCAAAATCGTGAGACCTGGCCCCTTGTTTGGCGAGCCAATCGGCATATTTATTACCACAGATATCCCTCCCAGGTCGCCGCGAGCAGTATCGAGAGGGGTCGGGGCTTTCTGGACCAGAGCTTCGTATGAGAGGTCCCACGGTGTTGGCGCGAATTGGCATGTGTAACTCCCCCTGGCGGCTCCCTGTTCGGGTGCACAAGTGCGATGCCGACTGCATCGCGGTGATCATGAGGCCCTGAACGGAGAGGGGTCGGAGGTTCCAAAACCAGCGAAACGCTTGACGCATCCCCACAATTGAGGTACGAAAAGGCAAGAGTAACGCCCGTGTCGTCTCCTACTCGGGCGGGCGCGACTTGGCAGATGTCCCACCCCCTGGCGGTTCCTCCTTGGGGTGCTCACATGGTATGCCTGCTACACAGGTATGACCATGAGGCCCCTGACAAACGAAGAGTTGGGGCAAGGCGAACCGCTCGAGACATTCCCACAATCAGGGCACAAACAAACAGGAGTCCTACCCCCTGGCGTCTCCGCCTTGCGGTGTTCACACGGCACACCTGCTAGACCGCAGGGAGCATGAGGCTATCAGATGAGAAGGGTCTGGGGGCAAAAAAAGCAAACCGCCTGAAACATCCCTACACGTTGGGCGCCAACGGGCAAGTGTCCGACACCCTGGCGCCTCCTCCGCGGCGTACTACGGTCCCACGCCTGCTACATCGCGATGGCCATGGAGCTGTCTTGTTCAAAGACAAGAGTATGGTGAAACAAAACAAGATCACCGCTGGAGACGCCTACAGATCGTGGCGCCAACTGGCAATGTCCCCCATCCCTGGCGGCTCTCGTAGCGGTTCTCAAATGCCATGCCTGCCACATCGCGATGAGCATGTGGAGCTCTGAAAAGAGGAAAGAAACCTGTGCCACCAAACAGGCAAACCGCCTGAGATATCCCCACAACCTGGGCGCGGACAGGGAAGTATCTCCCCCCACTGGCGCCCCCCGTTTGGGTTGCTCAAGTGTCACGCCTGCCACATAGCGATGAACACTGGACCCCCTAAAGAGACAAAGCCTGGCCACCAAACAAGCACACCGCCTGAGATATCCCCGCCGCCTGGGCGCGAACTGGGAAGTGTCTCCCTCCCGTGCGGCTCCTCCTTGGGAAGCCCAAGTGCCACGCCTGCCACATCGCGGCGAACATCAGACTGCCTAAAGAGACAAAACCCGGCCGCCAGACAGGTAAACCTCCGAAGGGTCCCCACAATCTGGGCGCGAACGGGAAGTGTCCCCCTCCTGGCGTCTCTCCCTTGGGATGCCCGAGTGCCACGCCTGCCGCGTCGCGGCGAGCAGTGGACCCCCCAAAGAGACAAGCCTGGGCCGCGAAATAGGCAAATCCCTGAGACATCCGTACAACATGGGGCGCAAACGGGCAAGTGTCCCCCTGCCTGGCCGCTCCGCCTTGGGGTGCTCAAGTGCCAGGCCTGCTATATCGCGGTGAGCACTGGACCCCCCAGATTGGCCTACGCTACCAAACAGACAGACAGACCGCCTGAGACGTCCACACAGTCTGGACGCGAACGTTCAAGCGTCTCCCTCCCTGGCGGCCTGCTACATCGCAATGAGCATGGGGCTCTGCAAATAGAGTCGGAATGTCACTGAGTCCGAGTAAGTGAGTCTGAGTATGAGTGCAGATAAGCGTGAGTAGTCTCTGCGTGAGTGGGTGTGTGTCAGAGTGAGTCTGAATGGTAGTGCCTCTGAGTGCGAGTCAGTCTGAGTGTGGATGAGTCTGCGTGTGAGTGAGTCTTAGTACGAGTGGGTGTGCGGGAGTCTGAGTATCAGTGGATCTGAGTGTGAGCGGGACCGAGTGTCAGTGAGAATGTGTATGAGTGAATCTATGTATGACTAAGCTGAGTATGAGTGCATACGAGTGTGAGTGGTCTGTGTGTGAGTGAGCCTGAATGCCAGTGAGTCTGAGTATGAGTGAGTCTGAGTATGACTAAGCTGAACATGAGTGAGTATCAGTGTGAGCGAGCCTGAATATGAGCGAGTCTGAGCACGCATGAGCAACGGAGAGGAAGGAGGAGCAATCGGGAGGAGAGAAGGAGGAAGGGAGGAGGCAGAGGCGTTACATGCATACCAAGAACCGCATCGTAGGATGAATCATGACGTCGGCGTTCTGGGAACACAGAGGCTACAGGTGAGGCGAACAAACAGGCTCAAGGTGGAGGAAGCAAGGTGGCTAGTCCCACCAGCCCTCTGGGCGTAGGTGGTCTAGAGCAGATCCTCTTCCACCCCTCCCTCTTCCCCCTTGGGGAGGGGTTTACCCCTCCCCCTACCCCCTCCCCTGGACCTGGACGGGGGGGGCCGCGGGTAGTTAGAGCGTCCAAGATGGCCCAAGACGGCTCCAAGAGCGCCTCAGAGAACCCAAGATGAGCTCCAAGATGGCTCAAGATAGCGCAAGATCGCTCACGATGGCTCCTAAGATGGTTCCAAGAAGCCCAAAGACGGCCCCAAGATAACTCCAAGTGGCCAAACAGCTCCCCAAGGAGGCCCCGAAGAGGCCAAAATCGTCCCAAAACCTAAGGAAAATCAATGATTTTTGCTTTCTCGCCTTTTCGCTTCCGATGGCCATCCGAGGCCTGGAGATGGCTCCAAGATGGCCCAAGAGGGCCCCAAGAGAGCCCCAAAAGAGCCCCAAGACGGCCCCAAGAGCGCCCAAGAGCACTCCAAGAGCGTTCCAAGAGGGGTCCAAGAGGCGATTTTAGGGGCTTCCGAGGGGGGGCGCTAATTCCCCCCCCCCTCTTGTTTGATCGACTCCCTCCAAGATGGCCCCAAAAGCGCCCAGGAAGCCCCAAGAGGTCCCAAGATGGCCCCAAAATGGCCCCAAGAGGCCCCCAAGAGGCCCCCCGGAGGCCCCCAAGAGACCCCCAAGAGGCCCCAAGAGCCCCCCCAGATGCACCCAAGATGCTCCAAGAGGCCTCGGCGAGAATGCCTAATCATTGATTCTACACAGGTTTTAGCCACATGGAGGCCTCTTGGGGGGGGGCACGGATTAAGATGACTCCAAGAGCGTCTGGGAGAGCCCAAAATGACCTCCAAGATGGCTCAAGATATCCCAAGATGTCTCATAATGGCTTCCTCTGTGTGCTGCCCACTTCTCTGATCGAGGCAATTCCTCTGGGCATCGTTTCTGGATGGGCTGGTGGGGATTCGCGAAGCGACAACAATTCCAAGATCAGACAATGCCGATTGTCAAAAAGCACTAGGCAAAAGGGAAAACCCGTGAGCCATGAACACACCAGCCTACATACAGATCGGATCAACATTTACGTCTGCTGGCTTGCGTCAGCCAACCATCGAAACCACTCTCCTTTGAAATCCGTCGGCTACCGCAACCCCTCCGCCCTCTTACACCGTCGATCCCAGATGGTGCCTGGCAGAGGCTGAAAGTCGAATGGGCCATGGCAAATGGAGCGGGTTCATAGGAAAGGGGTGAAACAGTGCTGGTGATCACATTCCCTACCCTTCCTTCCCCTCATGCCTTGCTCCCCGTCCGCGTCCAGCCACGCATCCATGCTTCCCCTCCATCCATCTCCTGCCCGGCACCCCAAACGACGACGACGACGACGACGACGACGACGACGACGACGACGACGACGACGACGACGGCGATCCCATCCGGACGACGAGGACGACAACGGCGACGGCGACGGCGATAGTGATGACGACGACCCTCCTAGGGCGCGCGCAGCACGGCGAATTCGCCGTCGCCGAGCTTCCGCAGCGCCACGTGCGTGCCCTCGAGCGGGTCGCTCAAATTCTGGAACACCCGGCCGGGGACCTCGAGGGCCCCGCCCGCCGCCGCCCCCTCCGCTCTCGCTAGCTCGCTCGCTCGGCTGCTCGCTGCGCGAGCCAACCTTCCAGGAGGAGCCGGAGGAGGAGGAGGAGGAGGAGGAGGGAGAAGGGAGGGAGAAGGGAGGGAGGGGGAGGGAGGAGGGAGGAGGGAGGAGGGAAGGCAAAGAGGTAGGAGGGAGGAGGAGGAGGAGGAAGAGGAGGAGGAGGTGAGCCACCTTCCCTCACCTCCCTGCCCCTCTCACTCTGCATACGCCTCGGCACGCTCGCTCAGTCCCTCCCGTTCCCGTATGATCCCAACTCTCCCCCCTCTTCCCTCCCCCCCCCCACTCTCTCGCCCGTCCCCTCACGCCCATTCATCCGCGACACGGAAGCCACAAGGCCCTGAGGAGGAACCATTTCTGGAGTTTCTGCGTGATCACGTAGTGCGATCCCTAAACTCAGGAGGAGGAGGATGAGAAGAAGGAGGAGGGAGGACTAGACAAAACCAAAGATGCACAAGTGATGCTGCAATACACCCTCCCGCACCAAGTCTCCTCATCGCATGCCGCCACAAGTCCTTCTTGCCACTACAAGAAGCGCCCCCCTTGAAAGGCCAGCACAATTGGGCCTGCCACGATGGCGAGGGCCCAGCTTTGAAAAGGAACGCCCCGCATCTTACTGGCGCGTAGTCAGGAACGCGAATCGCAATGACCATACAATTCAAAGAGATGTCCAACGACACCTCCCTTTCGAAGAAAGACGCGTCACAGTCCGTGTAACTGTTGCACATGTTTACTACCGTTGCTGTCATGCGATTACAGGAAATATCAAAGAACAACCCTTTTCGGGACATTATCGACCAGAAAACCAGGAAATATAGTTAGAAACAAGAGGCATGGCAACGTTTTCAAAACACCCGACTGGGCGAAAGGCAATTGTAATGCGGAAGGTATCGATCGTGATGCACGGTGCCCAAGGTTGCGCTGTGCTCTGTCGTGTTGAAATTATATGTGTCGTGCCACGATGAAGTGCGTTGTGCTCTATAGCGTTGTGGATCAAGTCGCCCTGTCGCGCTCTTGGCATCCGAATCCTGACCGAACTGAGCTGGATCGTAAGCCTCAATCCCCAAGACATGCGATGTGCTGATTGTTTGAATACGGAGTCCCTGAAGTCCCGACCCTTTCCCCAGGACCAGCTTTTCATCCGAAGTCGTGTTTCGACGGTCCTGGGGGCCCAGCAAGGGCCCCCAGAGGACGAAAGCGAGAAAGAACCGATGACAAGAACGCCATGCACCTTCCAGGACGTTGCTTGCCTGGGCCTGGAACCTCGGCCTGAGGAGGAACTCCTGGCCCCCATCCTTCTGCGGCATCCTTCGGCCTGGATTGATCTGTGCTGGTGCCTGGGCCCGAAACGGGGCAAAGACGGCCGCAATACCGCACGAAAATACCAATAGAAACCTTAGAGGCCCCAAAGCGCACCCGAATCCCCCAAGCGGCCCCTCGAAACTGTCTCACAAGAAAACGCAGCACCCACGTGGCACTACAGCCATGCAGCGCAACAGCATTGCCAGAGTGTTTCCCCAATAGAGGCAACCTTTGGGATTGGCACACGCCGCCCGCAGCGAAACAAAAGTGCGACATCCTCCTCCTCCTCCTCCTCCTCCCTCCTCCTCCTCCTCCTCCTCCTCCTCCTCCCTCCTCCTCCTCCTCCTCCTCCTCCACCTCCTCCTCCTCCTCCTCCTCCTCCTCCTCCACCTCCTCCTCCTCCTGAGGAAAGCGCCTCCTGGCGCCCGTGCCGCGCCCTGGGCGGCCGCCTCTCCTGCCCGCGCCGCCACCTCACGGTGTCGCTCCCCGCGGGCGCTTCCTCCCAGCTTCGGGCCCCCGGCCCCTCACGGATCGATCCGGCTCGGAAAGTTCGGGGGCGCGCAAACATGGATTAGCTAGCGATCCATGGATTTGGCGCGCGGTCGCCAAATCCATGGATCAGGGGAGGTGCCCTCCCCAAAATGCGGCAGGTGCCGCCCCGTTCGACGGTGGGAATCCGCGATGTCCCATGGAGACGTGACCGGTCGCTAAGCCACGCCCCTTTGATCCATGTTTGCGATCGCTGGAAAATGACGCAGAAAGATGGGGTCCAGGGCTCTGGCGTGATGTTTCACGACCTTGAATTGCTTCCGCCGCGTCGGATGTCAAGGCTCAGTGCCCGCCGTACTCTTGCGCCGCGCCTCCGCGCGAACGGTCGCCGAGGCCGCGCGTGCGCGAAGATCGGCACGCGCACGCCTCGCCCCAGCGGCCGCGCGCGCGGCGACGCCGCGCGAGAGCACGGCGGACACCTGCAGCGGGCTCTGAGCCAAACCAAGGTGGCGGCGCGGTCTGAGAAAACGCCTCCCGCAACGGAAGCGATTTCCGCCAAAG